CCCACCCCGGACGCACGATTGCATAGTTCAACAGACTATTGGTTGAAATGTTTTTGCAGGATATACAGACACACATTAATTTTTGTATTGTACGATCATGCACTACCTCCCATTTAATACATGTTTTTATGGATGGAGGCATGTAAAAGTTCAGTGCACGGAACTCTATGGTAAGTTTTCTCGCTTGATCTTCAAAAATTGTTTCGATGTAAATGATGCAAGGTGCACATCGGAAATGCATACACAACTGCGCATATCAATCAAGCTTACTGTCACGCCTGAATATACGATAGTTTTTTTCCAAACGCTTCCAATGTCATCCATGCGTACGGAACAAGCCTCGAAGATTTATGATCCTGTATAAAGTTCACTCCGTTGTAAATGCAGATGGAATCATTTATAATCCTGTGTAGTGGATCGTGAAACTGTGCGTTCCAGAGACTGGTTTATTGCCCATCTTACTGCATTTCTCAGTCGTAAAGTCTGATTTCTTTTCGGGAATGGCAGAGCCGATTTTAAGCTTTTATGGTTCATTAATGAGATTTGATATGCATAGAGGAGATCCAGGGAATGCATTTTAATTTATAACAGTTAAAATAAAATAGTTTAGTGAAGTGCTTATGATGAAGCTTCTTGAGCTCTGATTGTGTAAATGGCACATCTTTTAATTTTTATCGAGCGGTGAATTTAAACTGTTTCGCATGAAATTGTTCCTTGTCTCTCTTTCACTCATTTAATTTCTTTACACTCAGGTAAGAATATTTCGTCCACCATTTATTTATCGTTTTTAATGCATTAGTTTTATGAAGAAAGTCTATCTGCATGGCGAAAGAAAGATCTGACAACTTAACATAATATGTTTTCCTTGTCGACTTTTAAGTAATTTCGAACAGTTAATGCTTGTTCTCTTAAACTTTTATGAACTTACAGGAAAATAAATGCTTCCGGCAGATTTCTTACTGGGGATTAAAAATCCCTTCACAATTGCATCATTGGTGATGTACAACGATAGTGTAGAAGACAGTTGAATTTACTTTAGGTATTTGCTGCCAATCTCATTATAACATTCTATTTTGTGGTATCGTCTTTGCCAGTTTCATTCTTTTCATAATCAAATTACATCATTCAACTCCCCTTGCTTGCACATCACTTCTACACAGCTCTTCAGATACGAATACAAACAATACTTTACTCAAAACTCTTGACCACTCAAAACTTCATATTCATCTTAAGAAATGAGTACTACAATTACTTATTAATAAATTTTCGAAGATTTCTTTATTTCAAGGAACAGGAGCTACTTGAAGAGTTCATTGATTAAAAGATTCGTCAACCAAAATATTTGAAGGAGATAGTATATTACAACACTTCGTAATTATTTGAGTTTTAAGAAAGATTGAGGGGGAAAATCTTAAGGACATAAAACTACTCTTTTGTATAAAAGTAGAAGTTAAAAGTGAGTTAAAACAAGAAATTAACATGCGAGTCAAAGAACATTATGTAAACATGTCCATTCATTTACTCGTTCATTTACTCAAAATAGCACATTCGAACATGTTAAATCATCTATACTCATATACAGTAGTGCAGAATAAAACCACATCACCTAAAGAAAATGGGTATTCTGTATTTTCCTAACCCAATCAGCTCTCGAAAAGTTTAAACAAATTTTAGTAGAAATTGGTTATCATATATTTTATGTGGTTTATATGACGTTTCTGATTCCATTACCTTCATAACTCGCTCGATTTTTGCAAAACAAGTGGTGTATTTCCAGGATTATATTCCAGATTACAACTGTGAGAAACATGATGTGGCTTTTTTGAGAACTGCTATATTGTCATCACATGAACGCTGAATATATTCTCGCACATCCGCGAATAGGGTGGC